GTCTCAGCAGTTGTGGTATATATAGCAGAGGAGACGCCTGTTGTGCTGCAGGTCGCTCCCTACTGTGACAGTCCACGGAAGCTGCAGCAGCCGGAAGTTGGGACGCCTGGGACGCCGTCATGACAGCGACACTCGCGTTCGCTCGTGCTTTTCGCCAGCATTTCTACGGCTAACCGCCACGATCGCGACAGTCAACAGCATGACACTCCGGTTTCTGTGACGTCGTTTGTTGCCACTTCGGGACCACTTCTAATGTATGGGCGGGATAGGACGCTAAACACACCAGTCGAAGACGCGATCCAGGCACCATAGTAGGATACTACCCACTCGAGAGAAGGATCTACTCACCACCTCACTCGAAGCTGTCCAGGAAGAAAGCAGTCTCTTGGAGGTAGCTACACATCAACACATATCCGCATGATACACCCTACCACCTGAGACATCCAGCCTGCTACGAATATGACTGCAAGGCCTCCAAGGTGCCCAACAACCTCTACCACATTGTGTGACAATGCCAGGGCAACAAGGCGATACAAATTACGAAAGAATCGCCAGAGAGCAGTGGGAGAGCCGGCTGACCAGCGTGAATCCTGGTGACTAGATCGAGCCAATCGACAGGGCTTGGCGGGCAGCCGAGGACCATGGTCTCTTGAACTGGGGAGACCACCCGCCTGGGGACGAAGACAGCGTCTGTTCTTCGATAAATAAAGTTCATTCTATCTTTTTTTTTTCCTGTGGTAATTTTTATGAACAGGAATACATATTTATCAAAACTAGACATATCGAAGAGCTAATAAACTTTGCATTTAAATAAACGTTCAATTCACTTTTAAAGAATCGTCTTCGGAGTTTTTCGTATTTTCCTTCGATAATGGCACAGACCTTGGAACGAGACGCACACTAGGAGATTTTCACGGCTGTAGATGCGTTGGAATGTTGATGTCTCGTGGCTACTGCATTCAAAAAGAGAAAACAAAAGAAGGAGTATTAGACAAGTGTGATACGTCCTAACAAAGCTTCCGCAAAAATGCGTGCTACAAAAGAATCGCGCACGCAAAAAATATAAAGAGTATGTTGATTAGCAAGAACGGAAGTGAAGCGCTATAGGAGCCCTAATCACTATAGTCACTAATAGTTTACGAAAACGGAAGGCGCGGCTAATTTTGTTGTCGCTTCTTGCTCCGTGATTCGTTTCCTAACGTTTTTTTTACCGGATAACGCAGCAATCTCGTTGACTTTAGAGCTATAATAGGAGAATATGAACTCGCCATGCCCTGTATTTCTTAATCTGCCAGTGACTAAATGCACCGCCGCAGCCACGGAGTTTACATTAACTTCGCCGATCCTTTTGAAGGAAAAATGCTGCTGATAGTTGTTGATGCATATTCCAAATGGTTGGAAGTTCACGTCTCCTCGTCAGCAACTGCTGCCACCTTCATTGACGCCCTGCGTTCTATAGTTGACATCCCAAAAGTCGTCTGCAGCGACGATAGCACCCCATTTTTAGCCAAGGACACCTAAAAATTCTTTCAAGCCGACGGCATCCGACATATCACGAGCGCCTCCTATCACCCGGCTACCAACGACCAAGCCGAATGAATGGTTTGGGAGACCAAAAAGTCGCTGTCCAAACTTGGCGTGTTCCTTGTTAGGCACCATGCATAACCACTGGGAAAAAACCAGCAGAGTTGATGTCGGGACGACAACTGCCTTGCCCATTGCGCAATATCCATCTACGGGATAAGGAAAGTGAAGAAGGCTACAAAGATGCTAAGTTTAGCAAGTCACGAGCCGTCTTTATTAAGGAGTTCGCGGTACAACCGAAATGGATAGAAGCTAAGGTACTCCGCCAGGATGCTTCCCAATCATTTGAAGTAACGACGTCAGACGGAAGAATGCAAAGGACGCACACCGACCCCATGCGAAGTCGGTTAGCCCAACATTCGGAACATTGCAGTTCAACATGGCCTCGAATTTCAAGTTACCCAGTTTTCGAGTCGGATCCCATTGAAACAAAATATGTATGGGCCTCAGGTCAAGAATTTTCAGAGACGGAATTCTCAACGGCGAACCCGTCGGTGCGTTTTCACTTTTAGAGCCTACACCGGCCATCGGAGGACAGGGCACTTCTGTGCCAAATACTGAATCGATACCAAAATGTTCTCTGGAACCATACACCTCGTTCGTTCCGGTTCCTCCATCCAGAACACGCCCCAAGCGCACTACATAACAAACCAGCGCGTTTTCGAAATACTGATTAATTTTATTAAGAAGGGGGAAGTGTTACGATGGAACTTCGTCTTCATTCAGCAAGTGCCCACACGAGCATCTTCAGTACGAGACATGCACCACCCACGGTTCCTGATCGAGTTAGCGACATGTTCGCCGGGGTCGCAGCTCACTATCAATCTCGCCGTCTTCCCTCGTAAACAATATGTAAATGGACCACCATCTCAGTACCTTCCTCATTTTTCGAACACGCTTTGCTACGGAAGATTCATCTGATCAACAAGTATGTCAACGTCGTGTTGACGACGGACCAGAAGCAGTGTTTTTTAGCGCTATAGCCACCTATAGTTTTCAAGATGGATAGCATTGCAAGCTGTGTGATACGTTATACCTCCGTAGTCAATGAGCCTGCGGCATTAGCCACTAATGACCACCGAAGCACAAACCTTGAAGAAGCGCGAAGATTGAAAGCGACACCCAGCGTTTCTAAAGCCGCCATCGACTACATAAGCTGCCAAACTCAAACTGAGAAACATATGCGGAGAGCAAATCGTCTGCTTCTTGAGCAGGGGTTGCGGTGACATCAGAACGACGCCGAGTTCGGATTGGCTTGGATTGGAAGGATACTGGGTAGACCTCATGCTATATGCTTCGATGTCTACCCACCACTTTTTTTTTTTTCGATCAGCCAAAAAGAGCTCGATGTTCTGACATCATCGCAACCCCTGTGCAAAAAGCAGACGAAATTGCGCTCCGCATTGCTTCAAGATTAGGCGTACGCGCAGGTAGTCTTAGAGGGACACTGACTCCCCCCAAAAAATGTTTTCATTTTCTGCCAGGCGATCCATTGTGGTGTCAGAAGACTACCCAATCAATATTTGGCTACAGCATCGCGTATATTCTTAATAAAGTAAAAGAGTCACTACTGCTCTAAACCGAAACCAAAACTGGACCGGGGAGGAAGACGGAATATAAGGGAGGAGAAAAGTTACCGGAAATCACATGGCTATGGAACTTCTTTTTTTTTTTTTTTAATCAACGTACTTGCAGCTTTTTACAAGCTACAAAAAATCGGTGCAATATTTTTTGTCTATTTTTAGCATTGAGTGTGTGTGTCTTTGATGACCCACGACTTAGATTGTCTTTGGTGGTTGTGTCTGAAACAGAAAACTGCCCGTGACCACGGGAAAGAGAGTGAGCGCGACTCAAACCGGCCAGTTCTTGATCGGAGGCTTTCGGGTGGAAAGCGAACGAATTTCGAGTCGCGAATTGTGCTCTGGGTAGTTGAGCCTTCATGCGCCATGTACAAATAAAATCCTTGGCGAGCATAAATACCCTGTCAGTATCCCTTTAATGCAATCAGGTTTGGACCGTACTCATTACAACTGATAAAATTACTCGTAATTTATTACTCTTTGAAGTAATTCTGTGATCATTCGAATAATTTTATTACGACGTAATCGCAGCAGAAATTTTATTACTTTTCGAAGTACTAAAACTATACTTGTAACTGTTACCACTCTCCCGTTTTAAATGGCGTCCATTCTTTCCGCAAGTTTCCTAGCACGGAACCCTCAAACCATGTCTCCGACAGGAGAATGGTTTACCAAAACTGATCAATTGAGAGGATAAGTAACTTGTACTTCGATGATTCTGATCCAATGCGGAACGTGAGTTCGACTGCTTCTTGCACAGGGGTTGCGATGATGTCAGAAAGCCAAACTTTATTGGCTGATTGAAAACCTTGTGGGTAGACCTTAAGCCACCTAGCATTGAGCTCTATTCATTATCCTTTCAATCAAAGCCAATCAGAACCCTACGTCGTTCTGACGTCACTGCGATCCCTGCGCAGGAAGCAGACGACTCGCGCTCCGGATAATTAACAGTACGAAAGACGCGTTTTCGGAACGGCAGAAAACTCAATTGTTTTTTAAATCCGATGTAAAAAAATAAGTAACGGAAACCTTTCTTTTTTTCAATTGACGGTCAATTGCTTTTCGTATCGAAGAATCGTGTAATCTAGTTGAAAACTTTTTTTAAGCGAGAGTAATTGTAATCGATGTCTTTTTCCGGGTAACGTGCATACAAGACAGGGTGCAATAGAGAGCTCGCGTTTTTCTTTTTTTGTTTTCTTTTTCTTTTTAGAGCATCGTTCGAAAAAAGATAACTTATGAGTTTTACCCAAGCACGCGGCTTCGACGTCACGCCACTACGGTGGCGCTGATGTCAGTCCGGCGCATGCGCGGACGATTCACTTAACGCGAATCTTATTTCTGAGCAGTCACAGTCCTACACTCGGTGTGGCAAAACCCTTAGTGAGAAGACTAGGTGCGCAGGCGAGCTGGTAGTCACTAATTGTTCTGTCCCTTCGACACAAAGTTTTTTTTTCTTCTTTTCTGCACCACAGTATCAGGTGTTAAACGACGTGGCTGGCAAAACCCTGACTTCCTTGCAAGCAAATTGTTGGTCAACGGTCACTGACCATGGTGAAAACAATAAGGCGTCTATATACTTCCAATACCCGGCCTCTTGGACGCCGCCGTTCGTCGCGTGCTTTGGCTTGGTTGCTGCGCGTACATACTTTCGAGGCTGACTAGACGCTGAAGCGTAATCGAAGGTAAAGAGTGTGTTCTCGCTAGCGGCGGAACAACTGAAATTCCTCCCTGCCGTTCTCATGCTTGTCTGTGTTTAGAATATACGTCTGACGACACTGGAGTTTCTTGGGAAGTCGCGTGAAATTACCTCGGAAAGAAACTGCACGACGGAATAGCTCATCTGGGGTTCCCCTCGCTAAGGGAAGAGAAATCCGCAGCCGTCGCGCAACGGACAGCCAGGGTCAACGTGGCCATGATCCAGCTTAGCACCATGAACCAGACTAAAATCTGAAAGAGAGAACAGACAATGACAGTTCGCACCACGACATTACGACGCGGCACGCAATGTTGTCAAGCAATTTCAAGTGTCTAACAAGTAGTTGGCACCCTTACTGAAAAAGACACGTAAAAAAGAAAGTCGAACTCCAGGAACCTGAAAGCGAAAGGAACACGAACACAAGAAGCTGAGCGACTTCTCGTGTCAATGCTAGTGAAAAAGTGGCAGGAGCCGTTTTTGTTCACTGTTTCCCACAACATGGGTGCCGAAGCTATTCTAAGGAGTTTTGTAGAAAGATAAAATGATGTTCGCAGTATGAATTGTCTTATATTTATATTGATAGTATTAAAACTTTAAAAATGCAACGTTTTCACTTTCTGTGTAAGTTAAAAAGCAAACCAAAGCGCCACCTATTTTTTTTTTCCATCAAATGTTGAGACCATGTGACTCCAGAGTTGTACGTTGTCAAACTTTATCTTTCATCCTCTCTTGGCTTTATAACGAATTTCAATATACAGGGCGTTTTTTTTTAGCTGCACATAATTATTAGATAAAGGGGGGGGGGGGGGAGTTATATGAATGCGGTTTTCACTGCGTGATTATATGGCTCGGCGCTCATTAGATGGGAATATAACCATAATTTTTATGAGACTAATCACCTAAAATTTGTTAAGTAACCTTTTTAATTACTGTAATTAGAATATATGTTTATATTACAACCTTGGAGGCGGTCGTATGCCAGGACTGCTTCATTTTGTAGAATTCGCGTAACCGCAGCTGTTCCGCGTTATTCGTCCTCAAACTTTGCACTTTTACCCGGTTAATGTAGCGTTTGCCGGATTGACTGGATGAAAAGTGGGATTAAGTAGAAACCTCGGGGGCAGATATCTCGGAACACGGGTTGCTTACGCGAATTCTACAATATGGAACAGTTGTAACGTGCGACCGCCTGAAAGTTTGTAATATAACCATACATCTGAATTACAGTAACTAAAAGTTAATCGACGAATTTGAGATATTTGCTTCCATAATAGGAATGGTTATATTCCCGTCTAATATTCGCCGAGCCACGTAAACACGCAGCGAAAACCGCACTCACATAACTTTTTCTCCCTTTGTTTAAAAACTTAATGCAAATTAAAAAAAAATAAAAAAAAGAACGCTTGTATAAGTGCATAAATCGCACTTCGACAAAGAGTTTCCAGGAATCTTCAGCATGTTTAGCCGACGTTTCTTCCATCTTTTCACAAGCGAAGTCGCCCACATAGTGAAAAGCGTACGCCATCCTTAAGTTTCCGGGAGACTCTGCGTCAAATTCTTTCTGCCAGCGTCAAACACAAATTCTGTTTTGCAAATAAAAAAAAAAACACTCTTGTTTTAGCATAAATCTATCTAGGGGAGCGATGCGAGCTAATAATTGGTGCATACTTGGAAAGAAAAAAAGAAAGTGAAAACGTTGTGCAAACGACAAGGACACAAAGTATATAATGGGTCCTTATATTACCTTATGTCCTCATACCGTTTGCGCGCTGGTTTACCATGTTTTGAACTCATCCCGCAGCGCAATAAACCAGGAGGCACACCGCGGCGAGTCTTCATCCGACGAAGCCAATGGAGCAGCTTCAAAAGTGCGTCGTCACGGCGTTCGTTTTTTTGTTTTTTTTCGTGGGTTTGCTACCTCCGGCTCAAGCAATCACGCGTAGAAGAAAGCGTAGAATTGCGGAGAAATTCTTATGCGTGATTTGATCCTTAGGATCATGGCGGGGGCCGCGGACGAAGTTAAAGTGAAACGGAGAATAGAGCAAACTCTGTAGTCTCGGAAATCACTTAAATATATACCCACCTGCGTGATGACTCTCTCGTTGTACAAGTCCGCCACGTTGCTATTTTCCCAGACCGCCGGAGCGCCGCTCTTGGTCGTGCAACTGCGTGCAAATTCACTACGTCAGGCATCTATAGGCCAACTGAAAACACGACGGTCAACTTCGCAGTCATTTCTTAACGCTGTCGTGGGAGCGTCGACCGGCGGGCCCGTAAGCACATCTGAGAGCCGGCTTACATACTTAGTTTCAGCTTAAGTCCAGCGAAAATTGATGTCGCCTGAAATTACTTCCCCCCTAAATTTAACGGGGAAACCGACAACGAGGGACATCGCCGTCACGGGACTCGAGCTAACATAATGTGGTCACGTGACTTGCATTTGCTCACCAAATATACCGGGAAAATTGAATTTGCGTGAAAAATTCCCTCTCCCCCCTCTAAGTTAAGCGGGGAAATTTACGTGACGATCCATGACGCTTCTTCGTGACGGTCGTTCGTGACGGTTCCTTATGAAGGTTTCTCGTGAAATTCGACTTATAGAACAGATTCTGTGTTAACATTGGAGAGCTGATATACGCACCGATAGTGCATTTTGTTATCCCAACATTTAGGTGCCTGTCCCTTCATTGCCTTCAGTAATGACGCTGCAACGCAGGCTTCCATAGTCAAATTATTTTCTACAGATTTGGGAGGGAGATACAACCGTCGCGCTTCTAGCGGCTTAGTGGAGGACTAAACTGTTGGGGAAAACAGTACCACGAAAGGCAAGAATTACTTATTTGTTTCTGCCAGAGTGGTCGGCTCGTGCTCGATTAGCGAAGCTTCAAATGAACCTGAGAGCCGAACACTGCCGCAGCACTCGGACTTAAAGCGGTACTCCGGCATTTTCTTCGTGGTTCCCAATTTCTCCGAAAGTTTCGTAAACACACCAACACACATCGCTGAAATGGTATCCCAAATACTAGAAACAAAGTTCTTTTTTTTTTTTTTTTTTTTTTGCGAAGTTATAGAAAGTGCAATTTTGGTCCTGAACGTGTATTTCAAACTGAAGGTCTCTATGGCAACACCAAAAAAGTGACACCAGCGGCAGGAAGGGGGTTCACTCTTTGGACTGTAGTATTCGTTCCCAACTGATACCAAGCTGTTTCATGGTGTCAAATGAATGCTTTGGAAGCTCACTCCAGCAGCCGCGCAGCAGCACAAAACAAGTGTTGGGCCTAATAAATTTTTTAGACTGCCTGCTCGACTGGCGAGCCTGCCTGCCACTAACGTCACGGTATTAAAAAGGGCGGGTATATTTGAATGTTGGTTTTGGCATCATTTTCATTTGCCGACTTCACAATGACTGTTCTGAATTTCGCGATACTAAATAGCAGACGCGTTCGATGGAGGAAGATGACGCAAAGTATCCGAGGCCTTCGTGTTGATAATGGTTGAACTCGAGTTCGGGTAGAACAAGTTCGACAAAGCGCTTCGAATAGTTTGATCTGTTTGTCATTCTTCCAATCACTTCAGCGAGCGAGGACGGGAAGGAATATCAGAGCCCCAATGGTCATGGGCACCAAGTATTAGTGGCGAAAAAGTAGTCCACCCTTTTTGCGCATACCAGCTACCTGTTTCTTCAAAGTCCTCTAATGTATAAGACGCTGTATTCAAAGGGGTGTTGCAACATTTGTTGTACTTAGCGTAAATACCACTTAGAATGAATTCTTGACGTTTCTAACCTGTGAAACACGGGCTAGTTTTTCACCGCGTGCAATGGTAGTTGTAAAACAAATCGAGAAAAGCGGGCAGCGTTCTCCCCTTAACTCGGAGCCACAACAAGCGGCCACGTGATCTAGAGCCGCTTATGTTTATCATAGCCGCGCGCAAAGGTCGGCAAAGCTCAGGGCACGCGCGCCGAGTTCCACACATTGTTAGAGTTCGGCTATTGCCGTGTTTTCAGCGACTGCACGCCACGAGCCACTACTCGAATGCTTGTCGAGCCATTGATCATCGCGAATATAAATTTCGTCCCTGGGGGACTATGCCAACACCGCGACCTCCAAACTACGTCATCGCGTTTTCCATGGAGAGTTCGAAAAGAAAACGCTCTCTTTTATACTCGGAATTACATCGAAATAAAGAGGCTTCCTGGTCAATGGCGTTGTGAGCGAGTATAGTTAGGTCCCTCTAGTGCCAGTGAGCTCCTATGAGCTGAAACACAGGAGAGATTGCCAAAACCTGTTTGGAAGACATTGGAGAGTCACTTTGGAGTATGAAGAAGAACGTATTCTTTTTCATCACTTAGCGGGGAAATTTACGTCCCAGTTTCATATCGTGGAACCACGAGATACTATGATGTCACTTCACCTGACGTCACGTGACGTGACATCACAGATGTCACGTGACGTGTGGTCACGTGGTACCATGACCTCGTGCATGACGTCAATTTTTTTACTACATCTATAGAGGGTACACATCAACGAAAAAATCTTTGGACAAGTTTCTATGATTAGGAAGTGCCGTTTCAAAGCACAATGCTTCAATATTGTGACGAAGAAGAAGATGCGGAAAAACGACCCAGACTTAAAAAGAAAGAAGACGACCCAGGCGGTGCACGCTCTGAAGGACTAACCCCCATATCTGTATTTCTTATTTCCTTCACTGTATAGTAAATCACTTTCATTATCACTGTAGCAACATGAATATTGTTTTTAGCGTTATTACCATCCCCATTGGGGAGTTTTCGTAGACCGCGTTTCCCCCTCCGCTATGCCCTCCGCAACGAAGAAGCCGCTACTGCGCCTGCGCGCCCATGGCCTTGACTGTAGAGTCCCGAGTATCGTAGCGGATTGCGGAGGGCTTAGCGGAGGGGGAAAGCGGTCTACGAATACTCCCCATTGTCACCCGGACTCACTTATGGTGGACAGCGGACTCCAGGCTGATGAAGAAGGTCCGAATGCCTACGGTCACTTTCCAGGCCATGGCGAAGGTGAGTAGCAGCAGGAGGCTGCTGAACAACGACGCTGGCGGAACGATCTTCCAGATGTGGACAATGCTGCACGTAAGGACGCAAGGACTCAGCGTCCGCGCTCTCCAGACGGGTCCACCATCATTGAAAGATCCTGCTTTTCAAAGGCAGCAGTAGGATTAAGATATCATTTTTTTTTAATACATGCCACCACTCGAAGACAGGGACGCCACCGCGCGCTCCTTTCCCTGTATTCTCAAATTTAGCATCAACTCGCCCGGTTATTCTTGTTCCGTCCTTGTCGTCCCGCGCTATCACGTATACTCGAATTCACCACCAACTCGCCAGACAATCAGCGCCGTGAAGATTTCTTAGGTTGATTTGGAATCACCGGAGAAAAAACGAAAAAACGCGCTGCGCAGGAACTCGTGTGACGTCACGCGAAAGCGGTGGCGCTGCCTTTCTAAAGAAGCGTCCGCAGATTAATGTTTTGCTTTTGGATTAATTAGTTCATGCATACGTACGTAGAGCCCACAGCTTCAGCAAATAAAATCCAGTCAACATTTTTTTTCTTAATTAGGTATATATTACTTCTTTTATTTAAATCAATCTGATTTGATTTATATTAAATTAATTTTATTATTCATATCGGATTCATTTGATTTGTGTCTTATTTATTGAACTTAAATGAGATTAATTCGATATCAATCAATGCAGCTGGAAAAAAGTAATTTATCTCCAGTAAGGTGTGAAGATGGGCGAGTCGTGCTTGATCAGAGAAATAGAAACAACGCAATTGTGCACAGAGGGAAAACAAAAAATCGGTGTACGTAGGTTTATACAGTCGGAAGTTAGTCTGCCTTAGTGGGCGTCTGGTGTTTCAGATGTAGATAAGCAATTTAGCCAGCGCAGTACGACTGCTAGCCTTGGGCTAGCAGTCGTACCTTTCATGTATTTCCTAGCCAGGGGCTAGCATGGTACACGACCGCTCGCCGGTACGATGTTTATCCAGATTGTAACGGGCAGGGGTGGTAATTGAACTCAGGATTCCTGGGTTCAATCCCTTTCACTTTTTTTTTTAGATCTAAACCGCCGCCTATATCAAAGTCATGTATGTTGGGTTTATGAACTCAAAATTTAAAAAAATAAAAATAAAAAAAATATCTCCTCCATTACGATTCCACGCACTCCGAGATTGTAAATAGGGGTATTGCAAGCTCTTGTGTGCCAGCTTCTCTGGTTAATTCCTGTCTGCATACGAGCTTGAGTAGTTTTCTTAATCAGGTCAAAAGGCTACCTTCGGCGGGCTTTCCAATTGTAGGTGTCGCGCAGTCCCTCCTACAAATCTTTAAAACATCCCTTGATCTACCTACGAACTTGCGACATAAGCCTACTCGTCGACCATTTGTCGTCCCGCATATACATACTATTTCACGCAGGATTTAAAAAGGTTGCCAGTAACTTTGATGTACATGTAGTATTCTCCGCACCGTCGAAACTATCGCTTATGCTTCGCAATCAAAAACGCGGGACGAAAACGTGTGTTATGCGATGTCAAACACCGTTGTAAATATGTAGCGTGTGCAGTCGGTGGTCTTAAACAAAACCCCTTTGTCCTGTAGAAAAAGTTATGTAGGACAGACGGGCAAGTGTGTAAACACTAGACAGTTTTAGTGGACCGCACGCTACAGGTTTGCGTACGCAAGGAGATTGCGGGTCGTAAGTGCGCATGCGCAGAACGCGATACAAGGGCTAGCGTATTGCGTACGCACGCAACGATGGGGATTTTGCGTTGCTGGCTAGCGGGCCTTGCGGGATGCTCTCGAAAGATCTCGGACCCAACGAGAGCGCCAGTTTCAAGATGGCGGTTGCCTCGACTAGCTGGCGCAGCAAGGGCGACGTGGTGTTTTCGAAGTTCTGTGTTACGTGAAATTGCGTGGTGTTCAGCTCGGCGATTCTTTCTGGGACCTACCGCGGTCGAATCAGATCGCCCTGCAGCTGAAGGAGTGCACAGTGGAAATGTACGCCGCTCGCAGTGTGCGTCGACGCTGCGATCTGCTCAACGCTAAGCCTATTCCCACAGTTCATCGCCGACGGACGAACGACTCCAAAGGAAATCGCCGAAGTTCTCGCTATGCACTGGACATCAGGATCATGAATTTCATTCCGCGATAGCATTGATAAAAGCTGCCGTTTCCACGGGACGACTGACGGAGGCTCCGTGATCGAATTTGGCTACGCACTCGTACTCGTAGCCTCTGTACCCCGCAGAAAAGCGCGCTTGACGAGGCAGCTGTGGCTTGGTTTAATCTGAAATAAAATGATTGGACACTTCTTTTTAAATATTTCTTTCCAGGAGCATGGTTGCGCTATAAGCACGGGAATTCTACGGCTCTAGCAAATTTAACCAATATCATACGCGGTGTTCACTCGAAAACGTAACGCACAACTAAATTCGGTCTGAGCATGTCATCTTTAGCGTACGCTATACTATTGCGTATTGCGTACGTAAGATCCAGCAACGCTATACTAAAACTGCCTACTATAGAGCTCGTGAGCACTCTCTTTCTTTGCGGAGCATAAGCGATAGTTCTTTGCTGTATCGGGAAATCTCGCTGTACATTGTCATAGATGTGGCCGTACACCGCAGTTAAATATTATAAAGACACCGGCCAAACGACACATCAGGACCGCTAGAGAAATTCTTGATGCTTGTTTTATTATGCATTATGGACCTGACGTTTGTGGTAATGTAGAATAGATTACACGTACTGGTGGCGAATTCTTTCTTATTAATCAGACGGCCAGATTTCTGTGGCCGTGACTGTGACTCTCACAGTCACCGTGGCTTTGACTGTGACTGTGACTGTCATAAAAGGACGTCCTGAAGTCGTTTCTCTTTTTCTTCTCCTTTTGTGTCAATCTATTTTGTTTCGAGGCAAAAAGAACAGTGACAGTCAATAGTCAAAAATGATTTTTTTTCTGTGTCTTCAACTTGTTCATGTGTTCATTTTTACAGTGTTTCTTTTTTCTTTCGTTTTATTACTAGATGCAATTTTAAACATGGCAAATTCATTGATAAATTATTCGAATCACCGAAAACGATGCTAAAGAAAAGAATTACATTAAATTAAAAGTAAAGTCTAATTGACCATACTAAAACCAATGCAGTTTGATTATAATGCAATTAAATGCAAAGGTGCAAGCGAGCTGGACAGTATCCAGCTCCAGGGATTATTTTCAGCAGTTTGATATGTTTCGTTTTAAATGTGAAAAGATTAATTTCTTTCTTTTTCCCGTTCTTATTTACTTCCAATATGACATTATTTTCCTCGTATCTGTTTCTTCCTTTTGCTCTTTGATTCAATAGTAAATTAGGGAACTGAGGAACGAACTGGAAAGTTGAAATAAAGCTTGGCCATCACTTCGAATAGCTCAAAAGAGCACAGCTTTTCTGGGAATACATAAACTGAATAAATATAACTTATACGCCTTCGTCGTTAAATAAATAACAAACTTCTTAACTAACAGACGCCTGACTGTTGTGATTGGTCAAGGCTTTTCCTCCTCCCTTCGCGACGTCTGCTGTGCCGTAGGGATCGGTACTTGGTCCTGTGCTCCTTCTGATATACGTCAATGTTCTCTATTCTAACATCCAATCTTGCACTCGTCTGTTCGCAGAGGATTGCATCGGTTATCGTCCAATTACGAGTCCTTTGGATTATAAAATTTTATAGGATGACTTGTATATAATCTCCAACTGGCGCGCCACGTTGTTGGTGAACATAAATACAAACAAAACGAAAGCTATAACATTCATCACAAAACATCAGTCCACTCCACACCCACACTTAATCGGGAATGATCCCATGGAAGATGTAACTTCATTTAAATATCTTGGGGTTCATCTTTCATCTGATCGAACACTCGCGTTCAACATACTACTAACAACGCGTCGAAAACTCTTGATTTTCTCAAACGAACTCTCTTCCAGGGAAACACAGAAACAAAACTCGATGCCCATACTGGTTTTGTTAGATCCCTAACTGGAGAATGCATCCATCACTCGGCATCCACACCAATCATATCTGGGAGAGAATATAGAATCACTACAAAAAAAAGCTGCTCGTTTCATAGCTCGCTCCAGCTTTACTAGTGTAACCGGTATCAAACCTCGACTTAATTCAGTATAGAGGTTTTTATGCGCGACACAGGGAACAATTACAAGCGAGTAGACACGGAGAAGCGCTTGTCCGTGTCTACTCGCTTGTAATTGTCCCCTGTGTCGAGCAAAAAACCTCTATACTGCATTATGAACCAACTAGGCCAACAACAAGTTTTACTCGACTTAATTTATCACCCCTTCGTACCACAAGGCATCTTGCGCGCCTATCATTCAATCACAAACTATACCAAACCTCTTCAGCAGTTAAAGATGTTTTCTTACGGCCAGCTCACCATATATTTAGGTCACCTTTATAAAATTAACCCCATATATGCACCAACTAACATGCTCAAAAATTCGACTCTTCTTCTTGCCAATTCGGATTGGAATCGTCTTTTAAGGGAAGTTGCCTCCATCAGTGATCATGAGACTTTTGTTTCCGCCGTAAACATGATGATGTCTGAATACAGCTAATGGCGAATTCCACTGGGCGTTTTGGAGCGCGCCGGGATCAGTTGACCAGATCCGGACCGGAGCAGACGATACGAACGGGGTCGCGCCGCCTACGGATCCCCAGTGGAACATGACCACTGCTCCGGGATCGGCGGATGCCTTCCCGTCAATCAACTGCCCGGGAATCCCCTTTCCGCGGCCGCCGCGGTCGTTTCGAAGACGTTTTCGCAATCGCGGCGCTAACATGTGTTCGACGCACGAGCGGCAGGAATGGCACAGGAGCTTCTAGCAAAGATTGCCGGAATGCCCGTAGCGCGGCAAATACCTTCTCTTCTCCTTCCTGGAAAACGAACCGGCTGTCGAGCCAAAGGGTAAGCAAGCGGCCATTACGAATTCTTCTGATGTCGAGACAATCTAGGAGCCCAGCCCGCGACGTGCTTCTTCTTCTCCTAAGGCGAGATGGGCGAGA